TCTGTATCTGTATCTGTATCATTAATATTATCATTGTTATCATTATTATTATTATTATTTTTATTATTACAATCATTATCTTTACAATGATCATTATCATTATAACTGCTATCATTATTATTATTCCAGTGATGTATCTAAGTGTGATGTCATAATGGGATTCCTGGTGAAATCCAATATTCCTAGGAAAGCACAGGTTAATGTTTTTTTCAATTTTTTTATTTATTTATTAGTGCGTAGGATCTATTCCATTTTGAGGCGGATTCGGTCTCGGATCTAGCTCTCATAATTATATCTTAAAGTTTCATCAATTTCCTGATTTTCTAATTGAGATATCAAGGGGATTTTAACAACCTTGCATCAAACTTTCGTAGTTAAAATTTGAAATTTTTTTGTGTGGTTTTTTAATTTTTTGTTGTTGATATTTTGATAAATTCGGATTCGGTTCCATATTGATCAAATTATCAAATTATCAAATTCTGGGAAGAAAGAAAAAAAAGAAGATTATATACGATAAACCTTTAATGAGTTCTGAGTACAATTTGATTCTATTTTAATTATTTAATCCAAACCTCCATATCCCTCGGTAAAAATAAATTACACAAAAGTCGGGTAAAAAATGATGAATTCATAAATAATCAAAATAAGGTTCTCCCTGCATTTATAAAAAATATTCTATAAAACGATATTTCAAATGCAAAGGAATTGAGTCTAAGTCACAAACTCTGATTTTCTAATTCCTATATCTTTGCAGTCCAATGTTGCAGTCATTTGACATTTCAAACTAGGACTTCTGTTAGATCAAATAATATAAGTTTGAAATATCAAAGGTTTACAACATAGGGTTCAAAAGATATAAGGATTAGAAAATCAGAATTTGTGGCAAGGACTCAATTTCTTTAATGAAATAGTTTTTTTTACTTTACAATTAATGTCAATCTTTGTAGGTGTTAATTATAAAAAATTATTAAAGACGACTACAAAAATTATAAAGGACGACTACAAAAATTTTTAAAGACGACTACAAAAATTATAAAAGACGATTACAAAAATTATAAAAGTAGACTACAAAAATTTTAAAAAACGACTACAAAAATTATATAAGACGACTACAAAAATTTTAAAAGACGACTACAAAAATTATAAAAGACGACTACAAAAATTTTAAAAGACGACTACAAAAATTATAAAAGACGACTACAAAAATTTTAAAAGACGACTACAAAAATTATAAAAGACGACTACAAAAATTTTAAAAGACGACTACAAAATTGTTAAAAGACGACTACAAAAATTTTAAAAGACGACTACAAAAATTTTAAAAGACGACTACACAAATTTTAAAAGACGACTACAAAAATCCCCAAATTTTTTTTTATTGGCAGGGAAGGGGAAATCTGTTTGGTCAACAATACTATCAACCTCTTCATAAAACCTTTCTAGGTAATTAATCTTCTGTAATTTCTAGGTAATTAATCTTCTGTAATTTCTAGGTAATTAATCTTCTGTAATATCTAGGTAATTAATCTTCTGTAATTTCTAGGTAATTAATCTTCTGTAATTTCTAGGTAATTAATCTTCTGTAATTTCTAGGTAATTAATCTTCTGTAATTCTATTATCTTATAAATCACTTTGTATGTAGACACGTTTTATGTTAGAAATAGAAAGTTAAAAAACAAAAAAAATTTAAAATTTATGACATTTACAATTAACGATAGATAATACAGTTTAATTTTATATTCGAATTATTTTTTAAATATACAACATACTGAAAAAAAACATCAAATAGTGTCTATAGAGAGGTACCATACCTTTCCGCTCGAATTTTGAACGAAAAATCGACTTTTTCTCCGGCCACAGTTGTCTTTGAAAAGTAAGACTATACCAATCAACAGCAAATAGGCTGTTTAGTTTACCCTGAAATTACCCAAATAAGTGAACGGTCCCTTTAAGTGTGAAATATAATTTATGTAAGAGAGCAGAATACACAAGATGATTGAAGAACCCTTATATTTCATTTGGATATAATAAACAGAAGTAAAAAATTCTTTAATGAAAAGATATTAAAATTTGAATTTCCCTGTAAAGATGGATCTGGATTTGACAAATCAGTAAAGATAAAACTCATAGATAAATAAATAAACATAGATAGCTTATGTACGCAAAATCACCAAGAATTGTACAGTCCGCGAACTCATACTTCTAGGGGTCAAAGTGTAATTTAATGATAAGCGGGGTGGTTTGGTGTTTTAATGGATTTCATAGAATAAGTGTAAAATAACTCCGGGAATGGAACTATTTGAACAACAATATTTCAATGAAGAAGGACATTTGAAGGACTATACTAACTTAAATTTCTCTCTACAGAACTCATGTACTTCACAAGTACTCAATGACATAAGAACAGCCAATGTTCACAACCGACCTAGTTAATCTATATAATAGAAATATCTTTAAAACATCTCTGTACATTTATATCTTTCAAAATGAAAAATGTCGTCTTATGCGCAATCTATCTTTATCTATGATAAAACTCCAAGCTATTGTGTTCTATAAGTTATCACCCGGGCAAGGTGATTCAGAATCAGGCATAGGGAATAGAATATATATAAGAAGGGAATTTAAAGAATCTATCGGTATGAATTTTTTCAGTCCCTTTCAGCCTGAAAAAAACAGTACAACAAAATGGCCGTTTTACACTTTTTTCTAGTAAATTCCCCTCTAATATATATTCTATTCTCTATGGAATCAGGTTTTAATTGTTAGAGTGGATTCGAAAGAGAAATATCACTGCAGTAAATTTTCAATTTCTCATAATAACATTTTCTTAAAATCTGAGATAATTCCTTCAACCATATTCCTGAAAACTGCTGAGATATCAAACAGATTTAACTCGTTGGTTCTTATCTCAGTAAAATGTGACTTTCGGTCACAATTTACCAATTAAACATACAGAGTGAGTCAAAAAAAAAGTGTGATTTGCGGCGCCTGGTACAAAATTGTACCTTATCTGTGAAACTCTCTTGTTACCCTGTACATTTTTCAAATTTTTCTTTTTTTCTTTTTTTCGGCAGATGCGTTTGAGAAAAAATTCTAAATAGACAACTCTGGCAAGTTTAAAGATTGTTTTATTATAGACAAAAAAAAGATTTAAATAATTATGCAGAAACCGAACGCAGCCCTTTGCATTCATTTTTCGAAAATATTCTTAATTACAGTGAAACCCATAAGACTTTGGAATAGGAAGAGAACTGTAATAATCCAGTTAACTTGTAGTGCACACAGACCTATTTAACTTGATAAATAGAATTTCTAACTACTGTTATCTATTACATAACATTGCTTAAATATAGTTCTCCTATTTCACAGTTTTATGGATGTTTATTGTTTAATAAAGAATTTTTTTTCTTAAAATAACTGTTTTATATTATACTAGAGTTTGTTGCTGGTTTCTACCTACTTTGCTTGGTTCGGGATCAAGATATAGATAAACTAGAAGAAGAACTAGAACTACTATCGGTAGGTTTACAGGATATAGATACGGTAGGTTTACAGGATATAGATAAACTAGAAGAACTAGAACTACTATATGTAGGTTTACAGGATATAGATAAACTAGAAGAAGAACTAGAACTACTATCGGTAGGTTTACAGGATATAGATAAATAGAAGAAGAACTAGAACTACTATATGTAGGTTTGCAGGATATAGATAAATAGAAGAAGAACTATAACTATTATATGTAGGTTTACAGGAATTTTCAAATCTCAATTTTTCAAAAATTTGGTTTAAATGAGGATTTGAATCTAAAAATGTCTTATCAAAAATCAATAAGCTCTAATACAAAGTTAACTACAAAGAATGGTTTCTTAATGACAACATCATTTCTAAGAAGAAAATATATGGAGGTATGAAGGCAAAAAAATAACAAGTTTTCTTCCGCGAATCCATGAATATAACAAAAACAGTTAATTAAATTTTTGAAAGTTTTATCTTTGTGGGTTACCGATGAACCATGTTCACTGTACATCTTTCTCACAGACTACACAGACTGCTTGTCTCCTTTCACAGGGGGGGGGGGGGGGGGCTAAGTTGACCCGGCACGACATGCTACGTTTTTACGATAGGTTTTTAGAGTGCTATCTCACGACCACTTGTTGAATATAATACTCATTCAGAGGTTAAGTTTTACAACTTTTAAAGAAATACTCCAATTTTAAACATGAAACATAATATTAATGAATTCAGTCTTTTTTTTTGAAGATTTTGTGTTTCGTATCCTTAAATATCCCTGAATATAGATGTTTGCTGATTGGTCGTGTACACAATAGAGCACGCTGTGGAAAATATCGCATATTTTAGCTGATAATCGATCTTTGTAACTCTTTTATCTCTGCTCTTTCTGTTTCAGGGAATGGAGTACACATCAATGGAGCAGCTGTTGTTGTACAGTGTTGAGATGTTGGGTAATCAGGCGCATTTTATCCTAGGCAGGCTGGGTTGTATTACGCATCTCAAGGAAACGACCATCTTAGGGTAAGTACAAATGTCGTCGTTGCTAGAATTATAAAATTTATAATTTATCTAATTATCTGTATCTGTATCTGTAACTGTACCTGTACCTGTTGTAACTGTATCTGTATCTGTATCTGTATCTGTATCTGTATCTGTATCTGTATCTGTATCTGTATCTGTATCTGTACCTGTACCTGTACCTGTACCTGTATCTGTATCTGTATCTGTATTCAGATTATTGAGTGCCGCTGGTTTCACAGATGAGAATGTAAAGGCTCTGACCTCCTTTCTCAATCTAGAAAATATTACGGTAAATTTAGGATAAATAATGAATATTAAATGCATGTATTTGCATATAAATATATATAAAGAAAAAATATATATAAAGAAAAAAGTTCGTCTGGACCAAAATGAGTCCAAAACTAAAGAATGCGCAAGTTTTAAGTTATAGTTTAAAGTTCTATAAAATAATGAATTCGGGGTTAAACTAAATTTAATTTATTTGAATTTTCTTTCCAAATGCGAATTTGTTTCCAAAATGTTTTTCAAATTCCGCGGGCAACGCCGGGCACTTCGGTTAACATATATTATGTAGGTAAACTGCAGCTTGAGGGAGCTGGACTCCTGGACGTATATCTGTACCCAGTCCTCAATTATACAGTCCCTCAAGGTCCACTGGGAACCTAAGATGCTCTCCTTCAGGAACAATAATCAGAATTATCAAATAATTTTACAATTGACATTTTTTACATTCTTTTCTACTTTTCTTATTTTTCCGGGTTTGTCCCGCTTTTTTACTTTCTTTTCTGTGTATACACAATACACATATAAACCCTAATTTATTTTAAAAGGTTCATAATGAAGGATTAGACGCACATTATAATGCACGTACCTATACAGTGATAACCAGAAAACAATGGAAGAAGAAGACGACTTTATATAGTGCAATAGGTCTGTTTACACTACTCAAATGTCGTCTTCCTATTCCAGAGTTTTCTGATTATCAGTGTAGATGATTTGCCTAATCCTAAAAATTCTGTATCGTATTTTTAATAACAACCATTTAAATAAAACAATGGGTGTAATTTGTTCGCGAAAAATGAATTAGGAATTTCACAGATTTCTCTGGCGGCATAATAATCATCCTTCAAAGTACACCATTTAAAAACAAATTGTGATATGTAAACTACATTATTATTACAGACACATTGGATAGAAGTAAAAGAAGTGGCGATCAAATCTGAAATTGATAAGGATTTAACCTCTAACCCCATTTAGATTTTCGCGAACACTTCCTTTAAAGTGTGTGATATTGACTTGTTTCTAGTGATCCTAAAGTCTCCAAGTTCTTCCAAGAACTAGAGAAGAAGAACAAGAGTATACAATGTGTAGAGCTTTCCATCTTTCATGGAACTATGAAGGCAGGATAACATCCCATGGAGTAAATTCTTTAAAAAATGTGAAAATATAAAATCTGGAGAAAAAAAATCATTAAGAATAAACTGAAAAAATGCAAAGAAATTAAGTCTTTGCCACAATTTTATAATCCGTATATTTTTGAAACCCAATGTCGTAGACCTTATATTTTTCAAGCGATGAATTCTGTTGGATCAAATAATCTAAGTTTTAAATATCAAAGATTTACACCATTAGGTTGCAAAGATATAGAAGTTAGAAAAATTTAAGTTTGTGGCAAAGTCCTAATTCCTTCCTGAAATTTTAGATGAAAATTTATGAAAGTACGTTTATGTCACTTTTTCATAAGATTTTATATCAATTAGTTCAACTTCAAACATCCTCAATTGTATGAATAATTCTAAAATAAACTCCTTGTGATGTAATGGTAAATTAGGAGCATGCCAATGTCCTGTTCAAAGATCAGAAAGATCATTTTATTAAAGAGCTAGGTAAGAAAAACAAAACAAAAATATTAAAAAATCAATTTTGGAATTGGAATTGGAAATAATAAACAATAATTGTTTAATCTGTAGGGTTACATTTGTTTATGTTTGATGTAGTGAAAACCAAAATAAACCGTCAGTGAACTTGTAATTTGTAATAGATGTACATATTTCTGAAAATGAGCACACTGGCCATTATTACAGAAATGTATATTACAAATATAATCGACACCCTTCCTAACATTTCTAATAAAAGACCTGAATAATTGTACTAAACCAATGAACAATCAATTTAAGAGTTATTATATACAGGGCTACCCCCAAAAGATTATACTTTGATGACGACCTTAAACTCTATTAAATATGATTGAGGCAAAGAATGAATAAGTTTACCATAAATGTTAGATAAATGACTGATAAATGACTGAGTAAATTCCGTAAAGTTGACACTTCAGTCTCATATTTAGAAGGCAACCCTGTATTAAAAGGTCAGTAAGCGTAATGTCAACTAACCCTCCATGCAAGGATAGCACTGCACTGCCCGATTCACTGTCCTTGAAACCTTTATCTGTTGAACTATGTGGAAGATATTGTTGTTTTTCTAGGTTTAAAAGTTGTTGAATTCTGATAATTTTCATATGTAACTTGATCAGACAAAGCTTGCATGGAGGGTCACGTTAAATAACGATTTAATATTGTTTTCAGCTTCATTTACCAACCTGCTCCGATCAATGATGTGTAAGAAGAACCTGAAATATTTGAAGGTTGACCTTCAGGTCATACAGCCGGATACATGTCTCCAGGTAAATATTTGAAGGTTGATATACAGGTCATACAGCCGGATACACGTCTCCAGGTAAATATTTGAAGGTTGACCTTCAGGTCATACAGCCGGATACAGTCTCCAGGTAAATATTTGAATGTTGATATACAGGTCATACAGCCGGATAC